GGGACGCGGGAACTTGTGTTTGCAACGTGGAACAGGCACAACTTCTGAGAAGAAGTCATTGCAGCTGAACAGACAGACAAAAAAGAGCGCTGCCTTTGTTGAAATCACCTCTTCAAATCCTGTAATGAGTTAACTGACTCCCATAGTCTGAGTGAATTCTGCCCGTGACCTCACTCAGTTGCAGTTTTTTGATTGATTGTTTTGTTTTTGCTGTTGTTTTTTTAAGGGAAAAATTAAGAAAGACCTTCAATTCGAACAATGCCAAAATGCCTCAAGGCGCTTTATATTGTAATGTAGACCCTACAATAATACATATCAAAAACCCAACAATCATGTGACCTCCTATGAACAAGCACTTTGGCGACAGTGGGAAGAAAAAACTCCCTTTTAACAGGAAGAAACCTCCAACAGAACCAGGCTCAGGGAGGGGCGGGGCCATCTGCTGTGATCGTTTGGGGTGAGAGAAGGAAGACAGGATAAAAGTCATGCTGTGGAAGAGAGACAGAGGTTAATAACAAGTATGATTCAATGCAGAGAGGTCTGTTAATACATATTGAGTGAGAAAAGTGACTGAAGAAGAAAAACTCAATGCATCATGGGAATCTCCCAGCAGCCTACGTCTATTGCAGCATAACTAAGATAAGATTCAGGGTCACCTGGTCCACCCCTAACTATATGCTTTAGGAAAAAGGAAAGTTTGAAGCCTAATCTTAAAAGTAGAGATAGTGTCTGTCTCCCAAACCAAAACTGGAAGCTGGTTCCACAGAAGAGGGACCCGAATACTGGTATACTGCTCTCCCTCCGAGAGGCGGGGATCAAATATTCCTTCCTTTATCCAAACATCATTAACATATATAACCCCGATGGTACTAGTATCTCCCTCGCAACCATCCAGGACGTCAAGGACTATGTGAGCAAATTGCCAAGACCTAAATAAACTGTTGGTGCACGACAGTGCCATTCATATGTAAGTTCAAACTCGAGGCTTACAGCATTACAGTACTGTTAACGAGCTAAGGTATAGAGTATACTTTGATTTTTGACATACACTCCAGTGCGGGGATGTTACGCGTCTGTATCCCCCTACAGCTGTACTTTAGAGCAGGGTACACCTAGATGT